ACCCGAATGAAAGTAAGGTGCTAAAGTGAACACACTAAAACTTGTGTTCTTTTTTCTTGTTTTGACACATTTTCTTCTGTATTTTTAGAGCCAGTCATAGTCAATGTGAGTCTCTACTTGGATCATTTTGGCCCCTATGATGAAACAAAATCGGTAAATATTTTTAATGTTGAAAGTTGATAACCCTAACTAAACATGTTTTAAAAGGAGTTTTCAATGGCACTGCAAGTGCACTTTAACTGGTTTGATGAACGTTTGGCAGCCAACTCTTCAGAAATAAACGACAGTGCCAACTTTAATACTGCGGCTATTCAAATGCTGAACATTTGGCGTCCGTCAATCTACTTTTCCAACCCAAATATGCCCAGTGCAGGACTGCTTAGCGAGAAGTCTAGCGGTCAGATAATGGGCAGGATTATGGCTAGTGGACGAGTGCACCTGGTCAAACGGTAAAATAAACACACTACTTTATCATTTTATCAATTTCACAATAAAACAGCACAACTATGACTGGCTCTTGCAAAGTTAACATCAAGCTCTATCCGGTGGACGTGCAGCAGTGCAGCATTCAACTCGAGTCAAGTTAGTGTTTTTGGGTGCATTTTACACAAAAACTTTTATCCCTTCTAAATCTACTTCAGGTATCAACGACAATCAGCTAAGTCTGCAGTGGGCTAAACTGCCCGGCTCCAAAGATTTGGTGTTTAGTGATGACTTCAAGCTAGGCAACTTTGAGTTGATCGATCACAATCTCTTTGGTCAGCGTGTCAGCTACCAGAATGTGGGTCCGTTTAGTCGGTTAAAGGTGATGTTCACGCTGCGCCGTCAACTAGGCTACTACCTCATTGAGGTGTACCTTCCCTCTGCCCTTTTTGTCATCTCATCGTGGACAGCCTTCTGGGTAGACATCCCCGCTGCACCGGCTCGTGTTGCTCTGGTCCTCACAACGATGCTTTCTCACGGTAAGTGAATGGCAAACTCAACATGCATCAATCACCTATCATCATCTATTTGCCTTTAACCAGTGACCAGCTCAAAGTCANCGGCTCGTGTTGCTCTGGTCCTCACAACGATGCTTTCTCACGGTAAGTGAATGGCAAACTCAACATGCATCAATCACCTATCATCATCTATTTGCCTTTAACCAGTGACCAGCTCAAAGTCAGTCCACGATAAANCTGCCAACTTTTTTTGAACTATATGAAAAATGACACAACAAGCATTTAGTGTTCATCTTTGCCGCCGTCGTCGAGTACGCGCTGGTGAACTACTTTTTCCACAAACCCGATCGAGTGGAGCGAAAGAACAAGGAGCGCACTGTGCCGCCAAACTCTCCTTCCACCAGCAAACAGAGTGGAGAGCTGACAGGGGGTGATGAGCGTCGTTTCAGCATGTGCAGCGCTGAAACTCAGCCAAACACCAGCCGCTCAGCAAAGGAGTCGCCGGTGGGTCGACTGTGGAACAAGGCTCTAAAGTTGGCTGTGCCGCCANGAACTACTTTTTCCACAAACCCGATCGAGTGGAGCGAAAGAACAAGGAGCGCACTGTGCCGCCAAACTCTCCTTCCACCAGCAAACAGAGTGGAGAGCTGACAGGGGGTGATGAGCGTCGTTTCAGCATGTGCAGCGCTGAAACTCAGCCAAACACNTAACTACTTTTTCCACAAACCCGATCGAGTGGAGCGAAAGAACAAGGAGCGCACTGTGCCGCCAAACTCTCCCTCCACCAGCAAGCAGAGTGGAGAGCTGACCGGCGGTGATGAGCGTCGTTTCAGCATGTGCAGCGCTGAAACTCAGCCAAACACCAGCCGCTCAGCAAAGGAGTCGCCGGTGGGTCGACTGTGGAACAAGGCTCTAAAGTTGGCTGTGCCGCCCTTTGAGATGGTCAAGCCGAGAAGAAGGGCACTGAAAATTGACCGCCTCTCTCGCATATTCTTTCCGCTCACTTTTCTTCTTTTCAACATTCTCTACTGGAGCGTTCTCCTTCACTACTCATACCGAAATAATCCGCTCAACGATTGATCTACTTTATTGTCAAATTGTTCTGAAATATAAAAAGCTCAAATTAACAATAATAACATTGTTTTAGAACTCATTTTTAGAAGTTCTAAAGTTTTAAACAATAAAAGACGGTACAACTTTTTTATCGCTGATTCACATTTCCAGAAAGCAAACCCTCCTTTTTTTGCTTTATCTTCATCAACCATGTCCAACGTGGACCTTGATAACGGGCAACTGGTGGTCACTTTAGCACCTAAGGAAGGCAGCATCGTGGAGACCACGTCGATCATTCTCTTAGTGGTCGTCTTTGCCGCCGTCATCATAGCTCTCCTGGTCTACTACTTCTGCATCAGAGAGACAGAGGAGGAGGCATCGGCAGTGGCAGGCAGTAGTTCACTGCAGACAGTTAAAATTGGTGGTAGTGGTGGCAAAGCTCGTAGCTCTACGCGAATCTCTTCAAATGCACAGAGCAGTCAGCAAGGTGCTGGTCTTCGAGCAGTGTCCAGTCGACAGNAAATTGGTGGTAGTGGTGGCAAAGCTCGTAGCTCTACGCGAATCTCTTCAAATGCACAGAGCAGTCAGCAAGGTGCTGGTCTTCGAGCAGTGTCCAGTCGACAGATGGGCAAGCAAGCAAGCAAGGCAGTCCTTTCCCAGGCCAGCTTCCGCACTCCAAAGCAGCAGCACCAACAACTGCCTTCTCCAAAGGGCAAAGCCAAGTCTATACACATGCAGCCACCGCCGCCCTCTATGCTCGACAACCGCTTTGGCAAGATGAGCTCCAAGATTCTCCTTGACGTGGACCTCGATCAGCCGAGCAAAGATGACATTGACGTGAAGTCGTACTTTGATCAGGTGGCCAGCAAGCAGCATGAAAAGGAGGACAGGTCGAAGCAGAACAAGAGCAGGGCTTCAAATGCCAAGAGCAAAGCCTCCAATGCCAAGAGCAAAGCCTCCAAGGCCCTAAGCAA